TTTTTTTGGTAGGTATTTTAGTAGTTCCAGGAGGGATATTTGTTGAAATTGCCCAGCCCACTATGATCAGAAAGATAAGTCTTCTTTTTTTTTCCTGGAGATGAAGTTTCACTCTTGTTGCCCAGGCTGGAGTGCTGTGGTGCGCTCTTGGCTCACCACAACCTCCGCCTCCCAGGTTCAAGCGATTCTCCTGCCTCAGCCTCCCGACTAGCTGGGATTACAGGCATGCACCACCACGCCCAGCTAATTTTTTGTACTTTTAGTAGAGACGGGTTTCTCCATGGTGGTCAGGCTGGTGTCTAACTCCCGACCTTAGGTGATCCACCCGCCTCGGCCTCCCAAAGTGCTGGGATTACAGGTGTGAGCCACCATGCCCGGTCCAGAAACGCTTCGTATGACCAACCAGCCACTGCCGTTGGGCTGCCTCTTTCTTCCAGGTCTTCCAGGGTAGCCCTCGCAATCCCATCTGCCCATCCTCTGCAGCCTCTGGTTGCCCAGATGTGGTCCTATTTTGGAATCAAAGGCCCAGCAACATTGTGGAGGGAAAGGGACAAGCCCCTGGAAGGTGCAAAGCACTCGAGCTTCCCTGGCTTCCCCCAAACACTCTGATCTGAATAGAATGGCAGACTGGACATCTCTGGCTGCATGGCAGCCGCAGCCTGCACTGGCTGGTGCCTGAAAGTGTTTCTCACTTGTTCTACTATTTGGTTTCTTCCCTCTTCTTGAATTGGTGCAGCTCATTTTTTTGGAGCCAAGTGGCCTGGCCCCTCATGCATCTGATGACACTTGGCTTTGTTGCCTGCAGCACATCCCTCATTAGTAGTTGGGCTCTTTCCAGGCACAAGCTGGCAGCATGTAATGCCAGGACATCCTGGGCAAATGTCTGCCTATGCCCAAGAGCTCTTCCTGCAGCGAGACATGACTTGGTGGACATTCAGGGTAGAAACGAATGGGTGACGATATTTTGATGAAAATTTCCTGACCACAAATAGCATTTTCTGCCCATGTAGAACCAAATACTCCAGGAGACAAACGTCTAGTTCTGACTATTCAATTTACACTAAATGCTTAATCTTTTGCTAATTATGTATTTGTAACACTTGGAGCTACTTGGAAAAATGAAGATTTATTCACTGAATCGTTTTTGACTGAGTTTTAAAATTCACAGCTGTCACTGTTTATACCCAAAGTGAAAGTACTGGTCTCTGCCCAAATGTCTTCACAGGAACCACAGCCAGCTACAACTCTTCATCTATCGTGCCAGTTACTACGAAGGGCAATTCCTTCAGAAAGCAAAGGACAACAAAAGACTATCTTTGGCAGCTTTGCCTAAAGCCTGTGGTGCTGATAACACCCAAATGTCCTAAAGCTGAGCAATCACTGATTTATTCATTGATTCATTCATTTAACAAAATTCTCATTGAGCATCTTGTCTGTGCCAGGCCTCTGGGCTTGGGCTATGAAGAGGACTAAGATCTACTCACTGGCCTTAGGGACATCACAGCTGAGTGGGGGACACCAATAGGGAGACTGGCATTTATGATGCAGTGTTATCAGGGCCATGGGAACACAAAGGAAGCCAGGCTGGTTGATGGACTGGAGATGATAGGGGATGGAGAATCAGGAGAAGGATTCCTTGGAGAAGGTGATGCTTGAATTGGCAAAACCATGGGGAGAAGGGAGGGGCTGGAATGTAGAATGTGGCAAGTGCTATGCTGGATAGTGCCATGTCACACTTGTGGCCAGGCAAAGGAGATCTGGTTGAGAAACAGGGATGCTGGGCCATGCATCAGAGCTAAGCCTGTGGAGGTGGGCCAGCTCCATCTTCTGAGG